CTTTTATTCATTTTAAAACTTACATTGAAAACACTATTTCTGAAAAAAAAGAAAGAAAACTGCATACAAATTCCGGGATGAATGAATGAATTCTTGAATGAAATAACAATCTTAACTTTATTAAATAGTCTTTTTTTTTTTTTTTCCCTTGAAGAGATGGAACATAAAAGCATTTGCTGTAACCCACTAACATTTACTAAGTATGTATAATCCATGTTGTGCTGTGCATTATACTGCTTTTTATTAAGTGGCTTTTGTTAACTATATGATAGGAAGAATGATTTGAAGTCATATATACAGATTGCTACTTTTCCTGCCATTATCATTATCCTTGATTATTTAGTTATTTTTATGAACCCTTCTTCAGCTACAATAATTGATTAAAAGAAAACTGACATTAATATTGTGATGTCAGAAAAGACATGCAGGAGGCAAAATAAAAACAGAAGTATCTGAGGAAACAAAACAGAAAATATATTACCAGAGATTATATTAGTTACTCAGTACTTATTAAGGTGAAGAGCACTTAAATCCTACTTATGGTGCCTGTATTGGTAGTGTATTTATAGTAAAAATAAGGTACTTATTTAAAAATATAGTATAACAACCCACCCATGCTTTCACATTTTAGTAACTGTATACAGAACTGTAGTACTTTGTCTTTTTTTAATTCCAAAATGGTCTTCAATAGTATATGTCTTGAATATATCAGTTCATGAGACTGGGAAAAAAATTTAGATTTCAAAAAGTATCAGTATTGGCTCTAAAGTGACAAAAAGTATGCTTGTAATTATGAATTAAAGATAATTTTGAAAGAGAGGTAGTTAACCAGGTGAGGTTAAACAAGGTAAAATGATTTATGGCCATTTTATAAAATAATGACAGTCTTCATTTTAAGCTACAATGTAAAGTGCTTTATTCTGAGATTAGGTATTGTGGCAGAAGCTAAAACTGCCTTTTTTCTAACAGTGCCAGAATACAACCTCCTTTTCTTTTTGCACTAACAAGACTGCTTTACCACAGCGGCCCACTCTAAGTAATTAAATCAATCCTTTGTACTTACCGTATTCTCCTCTAGTGACGGTACTAGATCTGATTATATGCTTCATGCATATTCAAAGTACTGCACTGACAGCTCTTTAATGAGCTCTTACTTAATCAGTATGAACAATGTTCATCTTGTTCTTTTTTTCCTCATGCATTAGAGCTCGGAACAGTTGGGAAAAATGAAACATCCAGCATTCATTTGAAAAATATATTGTACTTTGAAAAGTGTCTAAGCTGAGGAAGTTGCATTCTGCCCTTTAAAAGTCTGATGGACAAATTGGATTACTAGTATTGGATTAAATAACAAATGGTTAGAGGAGAAATGAGAAAAGCTCACTGTGATCACAGGCTTTAATATTTTTTGTTACTTATAGAGCTAAAGGGGCCTTTAACCAGTTATTAAAGTCAGGATTAATTTGTAATGGTTCAACTTACTGGCTTTCAAAGCCTTTTAAATTTAAAAAATTTTAAAGCCCTAAAACAATAGTGTAATTATGTATTAGGAGAAAATTTAATTTTTTTATTACTAGGCTAAGTATAGATTTCCATCATCGCATACTGTCTCAGATAAGGATTTAGGGATACAGAATCGATTTATCCTCACGTTTTTTCAGTTAATTGAAATGATCTATATAGCATTGTTGGCCCTGAATAATGTGTCTTTAAGTATTTCTTATTGTTAGGCTTATTTATTTCCTTGAAACATTTGTGTTATTAGTCATTTCCCAACAATTAGGAGAGAGAGATCTTTTATTCTTACCTAGAAATCATAGGCAAGAGTTAAACTGAAAATAACATAGTACCACATCAATATTGTTATTCTCAAGGAAGCAGTCTTTCATTGAAGAAAATGATGCTAATTTAAGAGTAGGCTGGTTGCTTCTAGTGTCGTCCGAAAGCCTCAATTATAGGTTAAGTTAAACTCAAAACAAACTTTTAATATGTCTATATTTTTAGAAGCCACTTGGGTTATGAACACAAGAATTAAGTCTTTAATCAGAAAATAAAATATCATAAAATCTACACCTATTAATATTGCACACATGTGTCATTTCACTGATCAAAAAGGCCTTCACCAGGGTACAATTGGCCTTTTTCCAAATTGCAAGCTTTTTCTCAGCTTTTTCTTTTTACTCTTTCTTCTTTTGTTGCTACCCAGGGATTTGTGCCTATCGCAGCCTATATCACATGACCAGTGTCAAGACATCACATGGTCCAAAGTGAATACAAAACCAGCTACCCTAAAAGAGAGATTAAAAATACTGTAAAACAATAAAGACTTTTGTTCAGACTCTAAAAGAATCTACCCTAAGTCTGCTTTGTACCATTAAGGTTTAACGGCATTTAATGAAGGCATATATCCTCACTATTCTCCCTAATGATGAACAACAGAGATCTATTTTACAGGGATGCTCTAAAGTACATGTTTAATCTTTTATGCACAGACCAGCTCTTTATATTTTTTCATTCTAAAAATATCTTCTTCAAATTTCTATTAATGTGGAAATAGTTAAATAGGTTATGGTACTCCCATAATTTGTGCAAGCACTAAAAAGAATGAGGTAGATCTACAGATGGCATAAAAAAAGCAAATCTTCAGGCAATATATAATATGATCTAACTTATGAAAGATCTCACTTAAGAGAAACCTGTGTCTATAGATAAGGTGTATACATGTGTGTGATAGACGTAACTATGTATGTGGTCTAGAAAGAGATACATCTAGAAGGCAGTGGGGAATTGGGAAGGGTGAGGTTGGTGAAAGAGAACTTAACTTTTTATTCCATTATACCTCTGTATTGTTTGGGTTTTTTAAAACAGTCTAGCAGTGTGTTTGAAATTTAAAAGCAAATGTTGTTGTTAGTTACCATAAGTCAGTTCTGATGCATGGCAACCACAAGTGTGCAGAGCAGAACTGCTTCATAGAATTTTAAAGGTTGTGATCTTTTGGAAGCAGACTGCCAGTCCTTACTTCCGAGGTACCTCTGGGTGGGTTTGAACTGCCAGCCTTTAAGTTAGTAGTCCAGCATTTAACCATTTGCACCACTCAGGGACTGTTAAAAAAAATACCATGTTTGAAAAGGAAACTTAAGGAATAATAGTCTTAGCTGGGTATTTAATTTCTTATTAGATATTTAAGTTAACCCTATGAATGCTATATGCAAATTGGACTGAAGAATTAAATAATGGCCTAGTGAAGCAATAAACCAATCATGGGTGGGGAAAAAAAAAAAGCCAAAGAACTGTAAATTTGACTCAGTACAATTTGACAGGAGAAGAAGGAACAAGGTGAGGAAAATTAAGATTTTTCTTGACTATGATTGTGGCCTACTTTTACATGAACAATACCAAATATATACAATACTGTATTATAATCCTTGATATACCCAAGATATACTGGCCAGGAGGGAGTAGGGAGGGGAAGACTGGGTTAAAGATGATGATAGAATGGCTATTAGTGGTAGTGAATTTTAAATATATCCTGTATGTAATCATAAACTTCATAATCTAAAATTTTAGACAGCTTACGTCATTTGTTCAAATATTTTCTGATTTACTGATCATTATGTTCGTTGTAATGTGTGTTTTCATAGATAGCTTATAGGGTTTTGTTTTTGTTTTTGTAGCCTGCTCACGTACAATATATTTAATAATTTGCAGGTAGTTTCCTCTGTTAGGGATGGTGAGTTTCAGCATGATATACAGGTTTTCCCCGTGTTCCTACGAAACCTTTCATAAGCCGAAATGGCGTAAAACAAAGAAGCAATTATCATTAATTTAGATGGGAAAATTTGTTGAATGTTCCCAGACCCAAAAAATAAGCTACCAAATCATAGTAAATAACACATAAAAGCTAAAATAACACAAACATCAATCCATTCAAGCAGTACACCTTCCATTTTATCCGTTACTGGACGCCAACTAGAAGAGACCGCTTTGCTACTAGCAGAACCAATAGTAACTTGGGCAGCTTTCAAGATTCTTTCTCTCTGCGTGTAACTGGTAAGAATGGTGGACGCAGGCAAGTTCAGCGCACCCACAATGTTTTTTTTTCACCACAATCAAAACAATTACGTCCAGTTTTACGCTAAGTGTATGAGCTCTCTTAGCCTTTTCTGATACCTTACGACGCATCTTGCTAACGGATGCACAAAATAAATCTAGATGAAGCACAGATGCTCACAGACACAGCTGAAAGCTATGGCGGCTTGATGCTGAGTTGTAGTTCCCAGGGAAGAAGCTTGGCGACGCCACTCTCACTGCTCGGGGTGCACGCTGCACAACAAACGCTGAACGCTATTTCCGCTTTGTGCTTTTTCGTAAAAGCGAAAATCGTCTTCAGAATTCTTTCGGTTAGCGAAAACAGGTGCTAATATAGGCCTTTCGTAAAAGCGAAGTGGCGTAAAGCAAACTTTGGAAAAGTGGGGGGATACCTCTCTACCTTTACTTTTAGGAAGGAAAATAAAAAAAGCAAGGTGTTACAAGTGGAAGCTTTCACACAATCTCTGGACTTTTCTGATCTTCCTGCTAGTCTTACAATTCTCATAATGATTTTTTAATGTTTTTTTTTATTTGTTTTATTGTGATCGTACGTCTGTCAGCGCCGTGAGTTCCTCATTGAAACATAATAACAAGTCAGCCCTCTGGGGAGGATTTAAAAGTTGGAACATTTTCTTTACTGTACTTAGTGTTAATATGATCTGTAGGTATGTTAAGGGGCTTTGAAATATGCATGCTGAATAATATCAGCTTTGGAAGATTGGCTTATGAGTTTTTAAATACTGATTTCTTTTTTCAGGCCTTGGACTTTAATCTTATGTTTTTATAAACAGTTTAATATGTACTATTGGGGCAGCTAAAACGTTTTTTTTAATGTTAAAAAAAACTTGTACTAAACTGCTATTTGGCTTGTAAATGTCATATAATAATAAATAAATCTTCCTGCATTATAGGAAGGAACACAGAAGAAGAAGAGGCAATGATGCAGGAATGGTTTATGTTAGTTAATAAAAAAAATGCCTTAATAAGGAGAATGAACCAGCTCTCTCTTCTGTAAGTACTTACTTACCACTGTGCTTGTTTGTCCTACAATATTGCTGAATCTTAGGCTTTTTGTTATTGCTTTCTTTGGGGCTTCGTATTTATTAGGCTTAATTTTTTTCTTTCCTTAGAGATTATGGTATGTTTTATATAAAAATAAAAAATAATATACAGTTTTTTATCTGAATTGAAGAATTTTAAAATGGAGTCATAGACACTGAAAAAAAATGAAATGTGTTTATTATACAGAAGGCCAAGGAATATTAAAAAATTTGTGTTTAAGAAATAAACCACTTTTGCAAAAAAGGAAGTGTGGTTTATATTGAGAGTTAGAGGGAACGAGAAATAAAACTGAAGTTCATTTAACACCAAATTGTAAGTTAAAAAATAAATAACTCTTCCTAAGGACAAAAGTAGGTTTGTATTCTTCCGGTGATATTACCCTAAATTCTGGAATAAAAGATTAATGACTTGAACAGAGATGACCTTTTTACTATTGGAAGAATGACAATAAAATGGAGTCTAGACCAACTGTAAGCGTTCTTCATCTGTAGCGTTTAATTCACTATAGGACTTAATGCTTGTTCCATTCTGCTCACTAACAGTGTTCTTATAGTATGCCACCTAGTGTGGGAATGAGCAGGCTGACATGTTTTATTTTATTGAAAAACTCTATTTTTGTAACTTCTGCCACGCCTCAACTTGATGAGAGAGTTAGGAAGAAGCACAAAACTTAAGATCTTTGTCTCTATATTAAATTTGCACTGGTAGTACTTTAATGTTTCTTGTATTCTTTTTACGTGAAGTTTTGGACAAAAGAGTGTTTATTGAATTATGAGACATATTTTACAAAAGAGCCTTATACCTGGCACTTGATTCAAGAAGCACTGAAGAATGAGACCACTTCTCTGCAGATTAAAATACACCTCTGTGCAATTCAGAACTGAAGGAGGAAAAGAACAGCTCTAGTAAACATTGTACCTGAGGAAGCGTTTAGGTTTGTGTATCATTTATTGGGAGTAGCTTAAAGTTAAAGAGAAAAGTCAGTTATGAGTCCTAAAATCAATGTAACCTAAAGGTTCTTTTAAGTGTTTAATGATTTAGTAATTAGCATATTGATGAACTTTTACAACTTGCCTAGGGAAAAAGAACATGACTTGGAACGACGGTATGAGCTGCTGAACCGGGAATTGCGTGCAATGCTAGCCATTGAAGGTAAGAAATGCTAAAGTGGGGTGAGGTATGAAAGGTGTCAGTTGTCAAAGAGATTTAAAGAGTGTAATACACATCTGGTCTCACAGGGTCTTGTCTGAGTAGGGACCTACAGGAATTGCAAATAATGCCTTAAAGGCAGAAAGCAGTAGCCATATAAATCTTAAGGACCCCAGTTCAGATAGATAATCATTATATTTGCTGTTAAGCACAAAATTATCTTAACTTTTGGTTTATTAAGTTTAAATTTTCATAAAATGGAAAATATAAGGGGTTAAAGGATTTATTTGCATTTTACTTATATGCAATTTAAAGTTGTTTAGACTGGGGAGATTTGAAAAAGATTTATCATTTTGATTTTTCACATTCAGACTCAAAATTTTACCTTAATATTTCATTGATGTCAACACTGAAATAAGTCACCAGCAAATCTACTATAGTTCTTAAGATTACAGCTCCTGTTATTCAAAGATTGACACAGGAGGTGGATGAAATGCTTTCACACTTTTCATAAAGCTTTCAAATGAATTATATAGTAATCTTTAAACATAGTTCATAATATCAGTAAACATCAGCTAGCTTAACTGTGACGTTTACTACATATAATTATTTTTTTTAATTCTTAGGTGTTTTATAATGCTGTTCTCCTTATACTTGAAAATGTCTTATAGTTCAAAGATGTCTGCTTAAAAGCTAATCCTTTGGGCTCTATAAAATGGACCTTTTGTCTAATCAATGCAAATTGATTTTCCTATTCTACATTGACCTCTTAACCCATTGACTGTCCATGGTAATTTCATTCTTCACCTGATAAGGTCCCTGATCCATAATAAGTCAATTCTAATTAGTTTTGAAACTGGAAATTTGGGTTTGTAAGAGAAAGCCACGTGAAGCCTTATATTTTAGAAATATTTTAATAAACATTGTTATCAAAATAAAAAGCCTGCTATTTACCTAAATACTGTAGTCTCATACACTTATAGGAGTTTTATTTTAAAATTTCTTTTATATCTCTAATCTCAATTGATGAATATAACTGACAACATTTTTATACCCTCCTCATTTAGAAAGCAGATTTACTTTATAAGGCTTCACATAGCTGATTCCCTTCAGGGGATATCCAGATATCGCGAAGTATACCACATTGACTATAAAATTTGTCCAAATTGTTTATGAAGTTCTGTGAAACTTGTCATTGAAATAAAGTACACCAGAATACTAAATGTGGTTTTTCCTTTTCATATACTTTTTGTAGTCATGGTGTGATCTTTAAAAGAAATGGGAAAGCTAAATAGTCCATTGAAAAGTTGGTATAGCAAATGCTGTACTCATTATACAGCCTTTTCTTTATAGATTCATTATATATTACATCCAGAGTATTTAAATTTTTAAGGTACCCTGTTATGTATAATAAATTAAATCACCCCTAAAACACAGCTTGATACAATACATTTGACTTTAAGGCAGATCTTGGTTCAGTAGTATTACCAAGTACTGATCTTAAAGGAAGAGCCGTGGTAGTTATAGAAGATCCCAGGCGTATCGACAATCCTATCCTTGTATTCCAGACTTAACAATTTTAAATGACCTAATGTTGTATCTGCCTGATCTTCTTGTACGATGGAAGACCAGTGGAAAGTCATATTTTTTGAAGAAGAGGAAAAAATGCTTTTCTTTTTAGAAGACCTTTAATACAGTTGTAGTTTTTGTTGTTGTTTTGTTTTTCTCTTTAATTAGTATCATTGTCCCATATGTGACTGTGCCTTACATCTCTCAGCCAGTTTCAGTTACTGGTTGAGGGAAAAAAGACTTGGGAAAAGGAGCAGCCTGTTGATTACAGATAAACGCACTTTCCTGGGGAGAGGCCTGCCCCGCTGGCCTGGGCAGTACGTGAGTTAGGCTGTGCTACAGAGGTTCCGACCGTCACCAGTCACCACCGTGACGATCCGCACTGTGAGGACAGTATCCTCTGAGCCAACCCTCAGAATGGCTACGCATGCAGTTGAATAGCCTTTTGGAGTGTTAAAGACACCACAGTAAAACACATGAATAGGCAACGCTAGTTGGTTTTGTTTTGCTTTCCTTTGTTTTAAAGTCCATTCCTCTTTTCTTTTCCCATCCCTTCCACTTAGTAGCCATAAGATGGTTTTAGTAATAAAAAACTGAAATTTTCTCAAATAACACTCCTGCTCCTCAGGAGAAAAGCACAGAATTTTAATAGCCATAGCACATTGAGAAAAACATTAACAGCTTGGTTTGAGAGCAAAAAATAATATTCAATACATCCATTCTTCTGAGAATTCATAATCACCTTGGCCTGTTTACCTTTTTTTTTTTTCCCTGAGGTGTTTTTCATAGCAGGAGTTTCACTCTGCTGAGCTAAGTTGTAGGATCCCTCAAGCTAACACACATCTTTTAGATACTTTTCGTATAGTTTTTTTGTTCCTGATTATTTAATGACCCCTCAGGAAAGATAAATTCATTTCTGCACACATTGGGGTGGGCTTTCAGAAAGTGGTGTGTTCATTTTCTGCACAAGAAATGGGTCTTCCCTAGAATTTTGTACATCTTAATTTATTCTTGGCTTAGTTTGAAGTGGGTGCTCTTTTAAAAGGATTTATGCATAGGTTCACTATTTTTGTAGTTATGGTTTATATGATAAGCTTTTTATATTTAAAATCAATATGTAATCCTGTGGAGGAGCTTATCCCCTAAAACCCCATTTGTAGATCTATTTTAGCTTTGTTACACAGCACAGCCACAGCCTTCCATAGATTGATTAGGTGCAGAGGTAGAATCCTATCAAATGGCCTGCTCTGATGATGATGCAAACTCTTTCAGGATTGCTAGTTGACTGGAACTAAAGATAAGACTTGACTGCAATCCCCCAACGTGCTCTTTACAAAACTAGTGTTAATTTTCATGAAAGTGCTAGGCTTATTTATAGTGGCAAGGTTGAAGATTTACTACAAGAACTTTAGGTCCTTTCTATTAAAGTGTTTATAGGTATTTCTCTTGCCTTTTTTTCAAGGTAATTATCAACTTCAGCAAATAAACTGAATCAAGGAATGAATAATTGGCCCTATATATAAAAAGGAGTTTTTTAAATTAACAAAACACCTCCATGCAGATGGACATAAACAGATCTCTTTATTTCAACACATTGGCTCAAATGCAGCATCAAAACTTAATCCTATTTGTTGCAAGAGGATATAGCTTTTATAGCAAAAGTACACTGGAATCTTTAAATTTATCAGAAGCCACACTGTCGTCTGTCCAAGCCAAAGTCAGTGTAGCTAGCTAGCTGTGACTAGTGTTAGAGGTAATCCTTTCTTAAAATGCATAACAGGTAACACATAAACTTACGTGCATCTTTTAAAACATGACATGACATCTACGTCTAGGTGAAGCTACTTAAAAGGGGTTTTTAAAATTTAGGATTGAACATACAACATGAATCTTAATTTTAAAGGTAATATGTTTCTTTTTGTAAAAAAAAATCAAAATAGTTTATTTAATTTTCCAAATTAGCACATATATGTCTGTGAATATATATAATTTATTCCCACTATGAGAAGGCTAATACAAGAAAAAGTATAGTTTTGTGAGAGTAAAATTCACTCACTGCACAGCTATTTCCTGTACAATTGACTAATAATTCATACACAGATATGAATGTGGTGATGATAGAATTACTGTCAAAAATCCTATAAATTTATGCTAGAACAGTTAAATTTGACTCTGAAATGATGAAAATTACCTAAATATTCTTAATTAAAAATTTTTTTCTTACAGTTATAGAAAATGTCATTATTTAGCTAGGAAAAGTTTATTAAAAATTATTGGAAAGTTCAAGGGCTAATAAAGTAAAATAGTTCTCTTTTATCCATATTGTTAAACTCCCATTTATTTCCATATTAAAGAAATTCTGATATTTCTAATTATTAATTAAAAGCTTAGAAGTGATTGGTCAAGTTCAGAGAAGGAATAATTAGGAAAAGTATGTACTGCTACGTGGTACATCTTTTAGTCGTATGGTTAAAATTTATGTTGGAAAAATCATAATTTTCAAATGAGTTATATTTTTTAAGTACAAAGTGGAGAAAATTTATTTGATAAAATTGATAAGGCTCTTATCACAATATTTTGAAAATAAAGAATTATAAATCAAAGCTTGTGACTACAATGACTTCTTGAGGTTGGAAATGGAAAGCTTAATATTCATCAAAACTGATCATTTTAATAATTATAGAATTTAGTTACAGATCTTTTAAAAGTGTAGCAGATTTTCCTCCGAGTGAATATTTGTAAAACTACAGTTACCCAAAATTAGACTAGATGACCTTTAAGATCTTTCCAATCTGAAGAGCCTGTTAATTTATCTGCTCTGTAGAATGAGATTGATTAAGAACAAGAACCAGATAGAAAAAATTTTCTAGCATTCATGACTTCGTTGTCACTTAAAGCTAAAGAATAAAATTGTGAGGAATATGGCTTCTCTTCAGTTTTGCTTTTTATTATTATTTTTAAAATTCTGGAGGAAAAAAACTTGCCATAGTAAGTTTCTTTACTTATCTCTATGCATTAGAATATTTCATTTCTTCTTTATAAGAATGTAATGGTGATCAGTTATTTAATGCATTTATTTGTGTGCTGTTTTGTAGATAGTTAAGATATGGCATGCTTTATTTATATGTAGATATATATTTGAGCGTATAATTAAACAAATAGTGATAAAATTGAATAAATTGTTCTAGCGTTTTGCTGCTCTTCTGCTGCTATGCTAACCTTTACTGCATGATGATGCATCTGATTTTTAATTTGTAAATACAAAATAGAATTCCCTCCAGCACCATTTGCTTTCATAAAGCCGCTGAGCAGTTTGCTGTCTTGAATAAATTTTGCTTTGGAGGGGGTCGGGGGGATTTGAACCAGCACATTCTTGTGTGGTTTGTGAAGATTCACATGGTAACCAGTGGTGTGCATTGTTAGGTTTATCTGAATAAGCACCAGCCATGTGAGTTTTAACATGATTGCCCAGGGCAATGGAGAGAGAAGAGAGAAACCCGAAAGGATTGCACTCTCCTCTGTTTTTTGGAAAGTGCCTTTGCTGGGGGAGGGGGCAGGAGGGACACTGCATGAGTCAGTGACTATGGGGGTTTTTTGTTGTTTTTTTAAAGCTGGTGTCCTGTTTCCCTCTAGGTCCTCATTCGTTCTGCTATCTGCTTCATCATCTACTTCTTCTTTTCATTGTTTACCTTCCTAATGAGGGAGGCGGGGTAGACTAGGGGTTGATTGACAGCTACAAGCCCTTACAGTCTGGCCAGAGAGCATTTGGCTTTGGTTTCAAAAGTGCTTTAAATGTTCGATTTGGTCCTGTTTCTATTAAATGAAGCTGCTGCTCATCTTAAGGAAATTATTAGACCAGCAAAGATTAGGAAATACATTATTGGGGCCTAAAACCTTCCCAAAACTGCCCGCACCCATGGAAAAAGCACTGCCCATCGGGATTTTCCAACCTTTAACATGGGCTTTCAAAAAGAAATATGTAATTTTTCCTTTGCAAAAGTGCTTTGATTTCAAACCACCCAGCAAACCTCTCCAAAAGAAAACTGGCTGTGATGCGATTGAGAGCTGCAGTGTAATATTGCAGAGCAAATTTATTTTTTACTTCAAAGAAAAATGCTAATTAGCCGATTCACTACTTTTAAAGTTATTGTGAAGCATATGGCGCCCAGTGTGAGATACATCCAACTGCTAAAATAGAGCGAAGAGGAAATTAGCGAAGAATGGGCTGTTTGGGTGAGAGTGGGGGTGGGGGAGGAGGCGAGGTTCTCAGGCAGATTCTCTAACCTTTTCTGAATGATTTTATCGCCCTCTCTGCTTCCCGCCTCCAGGTCTCCCGACTTACCCACTTCCCCCACCACCAACTCCCCCGCCTCGGCCAACCTCTCCTGAGCCTCAGGCTCCCTCCCCCACTTAGGCTGGACCCAGGTGCGCACCTCCAGCCGGCCACCAGCTCACACCTGGCCTCTTTTGCAGGTTCCAGCCCTGCGGCAGCCATCTCCGTCGGCAGGAAATATTTAGGAAGTTGGGTTTTAGGGGTGTAATCTTCACGACGACAGCCAAACTCCCTAGAACACACTAGCTAATGGCTGTCTACGACGGTTTGCCGAGAAATACAAGAAAACTGGAAAAGGCGGGAAGGGGGGCAGGGGCCGGGTGTACAGAGGCCCTGCTGGTGGGTAACAAGCCTTCCGTTCCCTGCAGACTGGCAGAAGACCGAGGCCCAGAAGCGACGCGAGCAGCTCCTGCTGGATGAGCTGGTGGCCCTGGTGAACAAGCGCGATGCGCTCGTCCGGGACCTGGATGCACAGGAGAAGCAGTGAGTGGGCTGTGGGATCTGGGGTCGAGGCTTGGCCACTTGCGAGCCGCCAAGAAGTTTGTGTAAAGTTGAGTGCAGAGGTCTTGGGCAGGCAGGGGCAGCCTCCCGCTGGCCCTCAGCTCCCCATTCCCGCTGGAACTCCAATGCGAATGCGGGGTGAGGGGTAGCGCTGCTCTGCCTTCCACGAAGAAAAATAATTTTTGTTTCCTGTTTGTCTGACTTCCAGGGCCGAAGAAGAAGACGAGCATTTGGAGCGAACTCTAGAGCAAAACAAAGGCAAGATGGCCAAGAAAGAAGAGAAATGTGTTCTTCAGTAGGGCCAGACCAGAACCTCTCCCAACATTTGAGTGTGTTGGGTCCCCAGACCAGAAAAAGTCAAACTCATTGTTGATTTAAAACGTTTCACATTTTGTTTGGCTGGATTGTACGTCTATACCACACCACCCCTTTTCCTCCCCTGCCTTTCCAGATAACACACAGAACTCCAAGATAGCTTTGTTTCTGGATTTGTTTGTGAGTTAAGCATTTCCTTGAAATCATGTGAAATTGATTTGCACAGACACCTTGTGAGTGAATGGTATTTGAGGTGTTCAAGAAACTGTTCAAAGAAGGAAGAATACCGTTTCCCTGATTATTTCCCTCATTTTTTGATGGGAGGGAAATTTGAGAACATTTTGTTGCTGTTGTTGTTGTTAATGCATAATGATGGTGGGAGGGGGGTAAGAAGGGATAAGAAAAATGTCACGAATGATTTTTTCCAGCCCTGCCATATGTAACACTTACTCTGCTACCTAAATTTGATAGTTAGGTCATACTCAATCTACTTATTAAACTGTGTTCTATTTACCAGTGGGGTTTTCTGCAGTTGTTTTGCATTTCACTGTAAGGGTAATAGAGTTCCCCTCCTCTGCTTGTCTCAGAGGACAGTCCTTTAACAGACCTTTAGCCTGAGACAGGCCCTGTGATTTGAAGGTGAGCTGTGAGGATGGGACTAACTGACATGCATCAGTTTACAAAGACAGTCGTACCATCCGAGAATGCACCATCTTTTTCTCTGGATAATTATTTATTACATCTAGCTTAGTTCCTACATTTTATTGGGTCTCAACATTGGCCCAAGAATGCTGTTAATATTTATTCTGTATTGCTAGAAGTCTGTCTTGCCACTGTGAGTAAATCCCCCAGTTAATATTTTCTTCTCTACCATAGCGTGTCATTTTTTTTTTGTGAAAATGGTTATCTGTTTATTTATTACTGAGTCATATATAAATTTTCAATAAAAGCAGAAACTTTCTTACCTTAAGCACTGCTGCTACTTTCTTGCAATGAAAACTTGACACTTTGGTTTGAGTGGAAGTTTGTGTATCCATAACACTTTTCATCTGGAAAATGGTCCTCTGGAACGCAGTGCAGGCTGTATTTGGAGCTGAATAACTTTACACCATCCCAGAGGGGCCCTGCTGACACACGAATTCAAATTGAATAGCAGTTAGTCATATTTTCTTAAGCAGTGGAAACTCTCATCCAGAAAAAGGGTCATCTCTTTTATTAAAGACTGGAGGAAATGTGTGATTTCACATCACTGAAAAATGCTGATATCTTACGAATTTTCCATGTTATTTTAATTGTTACAGTATTGCACTCATACAGCTATGTCTTCTGATAAATAAGTGTGTAGGAGCTGAAGGGAAAGGAAGAGGGTGATTCTTGGGGAAGTGGGGTGGGGGGTAGTGTGTGCAGGTGTGTGTGTATGGGATGAGGGAAAGGGAACTTCTAACAAGAAGTTTCAGGCTACAGAAAAAAATGGGTGATTCTGTGGTAGTTTCCACTTGCTCTTCTACAGAGAGGTTCCAAACAAAGAAAGCTGTTCAACAAGTCTGGAGTTTAAAGAAAACAGTCCACTAGCATTTAGCCTTAAAAAAAAGAAGTATATATATATACACGTATATATATACATATACATAGAGACATATATCCGTATACACACATATAACATTCATATACACACAAACTGCGTTTGAAAAGTATGCAGTTGTCTCCAATTGCTAGTCTTTCAAAATGACAATAAAAACTTGCTACGGTAAAATTCCTTCAAGCAAAGGATTTCAAGAAAAGTTATTGAAAAGTTATCGGAAGTAAGTGAAATTGGGTATTTGCTTATTTTATTTGAGCGGGAGAGCGGAGCGAGCTGCAGCTCTCTGGGGGAAGGTTTCAGAAACCCGCTCTAATCCCAGGGAAGGATGCCAGTCGGAAACCGCCCAACCCGAGCAGCCTGGGGCTTGGCGGCCAGCGTCACCCACGCGGTTTACGACGGATTCGGGTACCATTCCCTACTGAGGGGCCAACGTGCGGAGCTGCTCCCGGCCCCTCCTGACCCGGTCCCGAGCCTCGGAGGGTTTCCATTTGGGCTGCTCAGTGGCGCCCGCACGCCCCGCAGCGGCGGCGGAGCGCGGACCCCGGGACTGTGGGGTCAGGCCCCCAACCAGGGCGCCTCGTCCGGACTTGGCCGCGTCGGACCGGTGACCAGCTCCGGGCCGCGGGCGCAGACCCAGCACGCCGAGGGGCTGGGAACCCGAAAGTCCGCGCTGCGGAAAGAGAGGCTGTGGGCCCGGAGGTCGCCGCGGAGGAGGAGCGTTGGCGGCAGGCGGGCTTCGGTACAGCCCGCGGGCCCCTGCGGAACTTCCGCCCCTGGCCAGGATCCCTCGGCCCCGGACCCAAACCCCTCCCTCTGTTCCAAGTGTCCTCCAGAGCCTGGCCGGGCGTTTAGGTCACCTGGGCGCAGGATCCGGGCCCCGGGGCCCAGTTTCCTCGCCCCCTTCCCGGCCCGGAGGCCTCGAGCTGGATCCGCTTCCCCTCCGCCGGCGCTGTCCCTCTACCCCTCTCCGTGGTGTGGCCGTTGCAGGAACGGTTGCAGCTTCTGGCCTAGTGTCTCCCACCTGGACATTTGCCTAGCGACGGTCGCCTCAGTCCTCTGCACCGCGTACAGGGAACTTTCATCTCAGTCTCTCCTTTTCCACTCTCCTCCCTCTCCCCTCTGTCTCTCTTTTTCTTCTCTTAATCCCGGGGTTTTATGGGCTGAGCATTAAGAAAATTCGCCTGCAATTTGGGATTAGACAAATACTCTCATTAAGGCGGGGGTGGGGGGGGGGAGGAATCCGTGCTATTTGATACCTCCCGACTTCCCCGAGACCGGTGGCAGCATCTGGAGCCGAGAGCGCCGAACTCCTGCGCGGCGGGCCCTGGGGACCGCGCACCACATTCCAGCGCGCACCGCCTCCCCACCTTGCCGCGCCGGTCCTGGACCGAGGCTGCGGCTGTAGGCGAAACAGGGCCCAGAGGAGGAGGAGGCTGAGAGGTCGCGGGACTGGGGCAAGGGCACGCACCCTGGCGCGGGCGGGCCAACCCGGGGACACAGCGCGCTGGGCCGGGTGGCTGCTCTGAGTTACGGATGCGGACGCCTCCGGCGCGCGCTCCAGGACGCTCGCACACTTTTACCCCAAAAGTAGTGCGCTCCAGCCGGCGCCTTGCCCCGGAACTGGGAGCATGGGTGTCTTTCGTTTCTTTCTTTAAGCCTCAGCACCATCTTAGGGGCTCCGAGACGCGGGCGGCTAACAGCCGGCGACAGGGTCCGCTCCCGGCGGGGGCCTGCGCGAGCCTGAGTGTGTCCGCTCCGGGGCCAACGCCTGAGCTCTGCGCAGTTTCTTTTCCCCTTAAAGCTTTTTTTTTTCGTCAAGTTTTTCCTTTCCCCTCGTTCTTTTATTCTTTCTCTCTCTCGCTTTCTCTCTCTTTTGTGAATGGGCAGCGGTGTCTTTGTTCTGGAGAGAAGCGCCCGTGTCGCTGACTTTTGTGAACCAGAGAAGGATCTTGTAAAACCTCCTTTTCTCCTTCTTATTCCCCAACTCCCGCCCCTCCTCCTCTGCCCCTTTGATTAGATGTTCCCTCATCGTCAAAAAAAATGTAATTTCGTTGGTCTGGCGGCCACTTTCTTTGAACATTAGCTCGCTTTCAGCTCCAACTTCAATTAGAAGCAGTTGATTTTGAGAGATCAACAAAAGAACCGACCAAAGCCTTATTAAAGGTCCTAAGAAGATCTCCCGGGTTCTTTGAGAAGCAGTTAAGGAAACAGTGTGCCCTCCATCATATTCTGTTACCGTATTTTATTCGGACTCCAAAGGAAAGTGTCGCATGGGGGAGGGGGAAGCACTTTGATGAGCGGCGGCCACGGCCCCTTTTCACTCAGTGGGCTGCCCCTTTCTGCTCCTCCTCCTCTTCGCCCAGCGGCCGGGCTGCTGACGGTGTCCGACCCCGCGCCCGGGCCGCGCCAGCGCTCTCCGGCCATGCGCCTGTCGGCCCCTTGACTCGCCCTCACACTTACTCCTGCTCAAACTTTTCCCTCCGCCTGCTGGGGTGGGGGATTAGAAAGAAGGGGTAGGAATTCCTCGAAAGGGAGTAAAGTCGTGTCTAGTATTCAGAAGTAGGTGCCATTGAAAAGGACTGACTAGCTCAAGGCTGGGGCGAAAACACTTTTCTCCGCTTTCAAAAGTCCACCAAGGTGGACGTGTTTTGGAAGTTTGTTCGACTGGGAAATGGGCTTCGCCAGTACGAACAATCCGGGGAGATCGCTTCACGGAGGCTACTTCCGCGGCATGTGGGAAAGAAATTGAGGACAAGGGCCTGTGGCCACGTTTTCCACCATACTGTCCCCGGTAGCTGAAAACGGGAAAGAAGAGCGAGAGGGAGTGGGAAAGAGAAAGTTTCCTATCAAAATCTTTTGATTCAGAAGAAGGGTGTGTGTGTGAGGGGGAAGGGACGCTGGCCTGGAACGTTTCAGAAGGAGCGTTTAGGATCTAAAAACACCCTTCGGGGGACTGCGCACGTCGAGAAGCAGGCAGGTTGCGGTGTCTCCCCTGCAGATGCCATTCGCCGGCGCAGGACTCCTGAGGGGCCGAGAAGGGATCTGCGCACTGGGAATTGCTCCCGCGCTCGGCAAAGTTGCCTGCGCCGGCACGAGCCGCCCGCGGCGTCTGCATGCAGGTGACGGCGCTGGGAAGGAGGCGCTGGGGCCCGCGACGCCGCCAGAGGGGCCAAGGGCCCGCGCTTCTCCAGTCCGCGGCCCCTGAGTCGCCGCGCCCACACCCAAGCCGCCAAGCCCGGTGGGCGCGCGAGAGAGCGAAGAAACCGGTTCTCCAGCACCTCGCCTCCTCGCCGCCACTCCCTCGGCAGCGCCGCAAGGGCGGGAGAAGGGCGGGAGAGGGGCGGGGACCCGGCCAGGCCCCGGGACCCGCGCCCCTCTGCGGCCCGGGCTCCGGCGTTCCGCTCGCCTTCCTCGCCTCGCTCTGCGCGGCGTTTGCCAGCCAAGCCCCGGAGTTAGCGCGCGACCGGGGCGGGGCGGGCAGGCGGGTGGGGAGGGCGGGGTGCAGGGGGCGGGGGAGGGCGCGGGCGCGCCGAGGTAACCCTCGGCTCGAGCTGCTATTGCCCGGCGTCCTGTCACTCAGCCCGCGCGGGGCCCCCGATTGGTGCCCTAGCCCCGTTACGCACTCGCCTCGCGTTCACATACCCCGGGAGGGCAGTAGAAAGGTGATCAATCTTCATCAGGCTACATTTCCAATCACCTAAACAACCGAGCAAGACAAGCCACTCCGACAAGGTAAATCGCTTGATTTATTTAGTTTGCAAAGTGCTTCCTCAAAAATTCCCCAGCCCCTACCCCCTGCGCGATGCCCCGGGAGTGCAGCGGCAACGCCGAGCCTCCTCCCAACTCTGCCCCTCGCACCCCCTCACCCTCCTCCCTTGCGGCCCCTCGGCTCGATCCCCGGCAAGCCAGTGTCCCAGGAGCGTGTGGGGTTTTGCCAACAAAGTGTCTCTCTGTACAATAAAATGAAACTTGGAGGGACACACATAGAGCCACTGGGAGGGAAGAAACAGATGGGAAGAGGGAAACTGGGGAAAGAAAGAAATCGGGGGTCCCAGACCTGCTGCGCCCAGTCCCGGGGAGTAATTCCTGGGCCGTCTGTTTTGCAGGTTGGCTGCCCGGCGGGTCTCTGTGAGGGCGCGAGGTAGATGGTGAGCGGCTGCGGCAGCTGAGGGCAGGTAAGGAGAAAGCCCAGGGGCCTCCCGGGACGCGGGGAGCGCGTCGGTTGCTCTTGCTTCCCCCTCCTCAGCTGGGTCGCGGCTTACACCGGTCCCGGGCTGGGGGGCGGGGCCGGGGGATCGGCCTGGCGCCCCTCTAGGTGCGCGGAGGACTCCAGAGCGCTGCTACCGTCCCTCGCCTCCGCCTGCCCCCTCTCCCCCGCCTCCTCCGAAGTAAGCGAGCTGAAGTGCTAAGTTTGAAGAAAGTCTTTGAAAACACTGCTGCAGCCTGAGAGCCGCCGTGGCTGGAGTCCCGTTCTCCTGGGCCCGAGAACTCAGGCTGTTTCTCTCCTTCCCTGCAAACCCAGGCCGTGGGTCCCTGAGGACGGGGGCGATGGCTTCTTTACTCCAACTTCTGTCCCTGAACTTCCTAGTCCAGCTCGCGAGGCCTGCTTTAGAGAGTTCCTGCGAAGCGGGATGAAG